TCTATCTATCTATCTATCTATCTATCTATCTATCTATCTATCTATCTATCTATCTATCTATCTATCTATCTATCTATCTATCTGTATGTTTTTTTATTTTTTTTATTTCTTTTTTTTTACCCAGCTCTCTCTGCTAGTCGCTCCAGAATTCCTCTTGAGTCTGGCTGCTCTGGTTCAGCTGTCTGTGCCAAAGCTGGTCTCCATGCTGCAGGTAAACCAGTTCAAACATATTCAACTCAACAAATAGATTCAAATCAATACATAAAAAAAACTGAGGAGATATTTATATTATTTATATTTTTTTTTACTTGTACCTTGCAGGAGAAACATGAAAATGAAGATTATCTGAAGTCGCATGTGCTGAGCAAAAAGAAAAAAAAGACAAAATCTGCAGTCAGTTTATCTTTATCTACAGTTTCTTAGAACTTCAAGATAATTGATTTTGTCTTTGACTGGTTCAACAATAAAAATTATTCTTATATGTCTTATGTTATACATCATTTTAAACATAAATACAAAGAAATCCCTTTTTACCATTTCTTCGGTCTCTCATCAACAGAAATTAAACGAGCCAATGTTATCAGGCTGCTTTATTTGTATTAGGTTAGTGCAAGAGTGTGGACATTGGTCCTTACCGGACGATCAATGAACTCTGTCTTGTTTTTTGTTCTCTGTTTCAATAATTTATTGCCAAATCAAAGTATGAAAACAAAGCAAGACTTCTGAACTTCTTTCACTCACAGGATGGAACTATCTTCTCCACTTTTTCTTTGCTTCCTTATAACCACAAAGAGAAAAAAAAAAAAAAACAACCTAATATGAAATCTGCAAACATTCACAGCCATGGTTGGTTTCCAAATCACCAGAGCGTCACAGATATTTAACATTCTGAGGATTTAAAAGTCTAAGTATTTTTATAAACCTTTATTGCATTCTGTAAAGTATCAAATTCTTATGAGATAAGGTACGCAGATGCAGATTCTGGCTCAACAAAGATTTTTGAAATGCTACTTTTGCTAAACTACAGATTCTTAGTAACTGCTTTTATCCTCACATTAGCTGTAGATGTGCCCTTTGGCTTAGTTATCTAACCCCAATTGGTGAGTGCTGAAGTTTCACAGCACAAACCAGCCAAAGTCTTCAAAGAATAGATACATACGTCAGTTTAGACAGGTACAAAAAGATAATTTAATGGCTAGAGTCCACATATTGATCTGGTTTTCTCTTAAGGTAGGGGTGCTTTTCCTCCACTTTTTCTAAACAGAAATACCTTCACTTAAAATGCTATTGGAACTAGAATGCTTAATATTTCTGATATTTCTACTGTTTAAAACAAGATTTTAATTTCAATTATGAAGTACACTGTGCAGAGGGTTTATATAAAAGTATTTGTAATAGCAAATTCCCTTTTTGAAGTAGATCCTGATGTTATCTGTTGAATAAAATCTCTAAAAATATTGTTTCAATGTGTTTATGTTTTAAAGAAAGCTATTTTGCACTTTTCTTTCTTTTTTTTTTTTTTTTTAACCAAGATATCAAAGTGATAATCTCAGCTGGAAAGGTCGGCGCCATGTGGCAATAATCTGTGACTTTTGCTTACAAGCGCCTGACCCCTGTCACTCTGTTCTCTTCAACGAAAACGATTTCATTGAACCTGCAAACTGGTGATTTATTAACTCATCATAAACAGCGACTTTATACAGGAGTGGGGATTATGAAATGTCTGATTAGCTACCATGTTGGCGCTTACCCTTTGTTCCTTATAATTAACAGAAATAATTTATTATCTATTAGACATGTTTAATATGGCATTATGATGGTGCAGCATTTAGAGCTAGATTTGAATCTCAGCCGTGGTCCTTCCTTTTGTGTCTTCATGATGTACCACAGTCTGAAAGCACTAATTTCAGATGAATATTGTATTCTAAGGTGCTCCTATGTTGTTTGCCTTAAAAATAGAAGATGAATATATTTATTACAATACATAATATATGTAATGGCCAACAGAAAGAAAGCATGACTGAAATGGAAGGGAAAAAATACTTGATACAGATTCCTAAAGGAATTTAGGTTTGGACTTTGATGGAGCTGTTATCACACATAAATATGGCTTAATTTGAACCAGAGATTTTTGGACTTGTTCTTTAGGACCAACTTTGTTTTAGATATTTCCATGATTTCTTTAACTGATTACTGATTTCTGGTGTGTTCCAGCAGGAAAACACCAAAACTTATGCGACAGCTGCTCCTGAGAACTATGATTACTGTAACAATCCAAAGGTTTAAACCTTTCTGTTAAAGTTCTTAAAGCATGTTTAAGGCTGGTATTAGGTGGTGAAACTGCCAAGTTTTCATCTAAGAATTCCCTAATCTAGATATATCCATATTTACAATAATTACCACTGACCATCTTTGCTGCCCTGCTGAAATCAAGCATCCCTTCGCAATGCTTCCAATGCAATAAATTACATGGTTGTAGTGGTGTTCTGATTCAGAATGTTAATTTTTCATATAATTTTGCTTGGTGCTTAAAACACGAGATATTTTCCATATGTTTATTTTTCACCTTATGGCTGGGGGCAAACTACAGGTGGACTCAATTTGATGTTTACAAATACAAATCTTTTTATTCTTATATGAAGTGAAAAACTGATGTGGGCTACACAAAAAAGCCAAGTTCATTCTGTGTTATTTTCTTTTTAAATAAAATGTTATGTTATAAATGAAAAGAGTCTGTTTATATGAAAAAAAATCACTGGTCTTTGCTCAATGAGTGTAAAACACAAACCTGTTGGGTTTAAAGTGCACAAAAACCAACAGCAACATAGACAAACATTCAACAGTGTTAGAATTTTTCTAGGAATATCATACTCTGTGCCAAAGGTTGCAACATACATCTAATTCTTACAGGCCTTTTCCCAGGTATAAATGTTTTAGTAGCAGTCTCTTTGTCCTCATGCTCGTCCTTAACCTTTAAATAGCGGAACTTTAAATGTGGGATGAGGAAATGAGACTTACAAGTGATACAACTGGTGCCACTGGTAACTGCAGCCATCAGCCAAGCTGACACAGGCAGAAACGCTTCACTGACAGTCTGTATTCACAGCACTGCGCTGGTGATGCTCTAATGTTGTCTACTATGGGAAGGTTTGCTACCAGACCACCACAAATATTTCATGGCAGCAATGAGTATCATTTTGAAAATAAGAAACTAGTGTTCGCTTTAGTCTTCTTCATCAACAACTACTACTGAAACAGCTGCAACTTTCTGTAACAACAATGTTGGGGCGTGAATGAAACATCAGTTTGCTACACTGGAAATTTGGATCCTGAATTGCAGGTAATTAGCTCCACACAGCCTATTCAAGGCAATGGGGGAAACATTGGTGCGCTCATATCATCACCCAGATTCATTATATGACTGGACATGCATGTAATGTTCTGTCACAATTTCTGCCCCTAATTCCTTCAATAATTTGCATAAAATACTTTTCAAATGTTTTACAGTGCTTTATTGTCATCACACTGTCACAAGAAAAGAGGAACAAAATGAACTCTGGTTTTAACCCATCCCCTTGGGGAGCAGTGGGCTGCCATTTTGCAGTGTAGGTGTTAAGGGTCTTGCTCAGGGACCGAGAGTGGCAGTCTGTTGGAGTGGGCCAAGAACTCAGAACCTCAGGATTCCAAGCACTCAGAACCTCCAGAGCTCAGAAACTCAGAATTCCAAGCGCAATGCCCTAACCACGAGGCCGTCTCTCCCATAACTTAACTTAATACATAACAACATAAATACAACCGTCCATTTAATTTCCAAAAGACATCTATGTCAGATCTAACTTGATTATGTTTCCCTGGAGGATCAGTCTGGAATATTTAGTTGCACAGTAAATGAAGTCGCTGATGATGACCTTTGCACAGTGCAACGTTTTCAAGTTTCAGGTTTTCAAGTTCATAAAAGTTTAAGGCTTAGAAAAAGATAACTTTGCCAATTCTTAAAGCTCATCTGAAGGATCAAATCAGTCCAAACACAGTTCAGGTTCTCTTTATCTCAAGGAGCTGTGGATCTCTACAGCTCCTCTAGAGATGCTGGGCCTCTTGTCTCTTCATTTGATTAGTGCTTGTTTGTTGTGTCTCACTTCATATGGACGGCCATGTTTGAAAAGGTTTGCAGTTTTGCCACACATTCCAATTCAGAAAAAGAAAATCAAAAGCTTAACATTTTGTTCTATGACCTAACTCTGCTCTAACACTCTCCGCACGATTCACCCTGACTTATCACTTTGAAATACTAATGTTTGCTCTAGATTTTGTTATGTGGTATAAAACTGGAAAAATCAAAATATAAGTGCAAACTTAAGTTCTCATGTTTTATTTGTAAAACTCTTTAAATGGATCTCTGCCACTCTTAACTAGTTGTTGTTGGTTTTTTTTTGCCCTAATTGTTATTAACTTATAGGTGACAAAACAAAAACAATACAATTTGGCCAAAAATAAGCCATTGAATCAATTTTAGGATCTCTGTTATTTTAAATTGGGTTTATATAAAACTGTCTATGACATTACTTCTTGTTGTATGTTAAGCTTGTTTACATTTCACTACTGCAGTTTAGAAGCAACAAATCTACTGACTCGGGTTCAAAATATCATTTGTCTGCCAACTTTATCACTTTTCTTTTTAGGTGTCTGGCTAGCAATTTTTTTTTATTTCCTCATTTTGGTAAAATGTTTCAAACTATATCAAAGTCCATGATTTAAAAAAAAATGAAATGGTATTAAAAGATTTGTTTTTATTTCATGTGTTTTATTGCACTTTTACACAGTTTTTCCATAAATGATAATAGGCAAAAAAATGACAATAGAGGTTAGTTTTGTCCATTTTATGAGCGACATGACTTCAGCCTTTAGATGTTGCAGCAGGTCAGCTGCCATGGCAGTGTGGCCGTTGAGGGCAGAGGTCTTTGACTGGTTCATCAGCTCATTGAGAGATTTCATCTATCTTCTGCTTAATCTGCTGAAACCGCTCTGTGAACCAGTTCCTGGGAGGATGGAAATGTAATTGTTACATACAATAATAGAAAGAGGTTTTATATGTTCAGTGTGTTTGTTGGCCTACTTGGTGGACTCTGCAAATTCACTGGTTCTCATGGTGTCAAAATGGGTCTTTGCCTTTTCAGCCACAGTCTTGCTGAACTCAGTGACCTGATCCCTGAATGTGGATAACCTATCTTGGATTGAGTCATCCTGAGCCTCTGCAGGTAATTAAAACAATAAAAAACAAAGACAATGGTCATAAGAGATAATAGCAAAAAACCAAAACAAAAAATACAGTTTAATACTTTAAATCGTAAAAGCAAAAAGAGGAACCTGTGTATGCAACAAAAGCCAGCAACAGGACAGCAGCTGCAAGATACAGTCTCATCTTGGCTTTTTGTCACTGAAAGGGGAAAGAAAAAAAATATAAATTTTATTTGCATTTAACGAAAGGTACCCATATTTTTCCTAGATCAACTGCTTAAACAAAAAAAAAAAAAAAAACAGTTATCAGTACCTTAGTGACCTAACAGACTGCAAGCATTTTTCAAACTACAATATAGTTTAGTCTTAATACATTTAAAAATGCAAAAGCTTCAACATAACTGTATTTTGATTAATGATATTTCCATTTTTTTTTTTTTTTACAAAGTTACAGAACATTTTATTCAAAAGTGATCAAATGTAAAACATACCTCTTTTCTGTCTCCTAGAAGAAAAAAAATGATGTGCCTTGGGTCGTCAGTGTGTCCCTGCTTTTTATAAGCCTTCCCTCCTTTCAGGAGTGTTATGCAAATCATTGGATTTAGGTCAACATGCAGACACAACGGCCTTGAAGAATGCCTGCCCATTTCATTGATCTGCACTCATCTAATTACATTAAAAAAAACTCCCTGTTGAAACAGGCCTGCCAAAGGTAAAAGGTTGCACAACTGGCATGAGGTTGATAAAGTGATCAGCCTTGTCTGTTTTTTGGGTCAGATTCAAAGATTGGCTGCAAATAATTATTCATTATAAAAGGGAAGAAAAAGACGAGACAGGGAATGATTAGTCTCATGTAAACCCCCAGGATAAAAGTGGTGTAAACTGATAAACTGGAAGGTGATGTGGAGGAACAGAGTTTACTGCTGACAGACAAGGGCTATTTGTGAACTACTTTGGACCCGGCAGTTGCCCAAGAGTTTACTCTGTGTCAAAAGGCTGCACAGTTTGAAACACTTGGCAAGATTTTGGTGAAAGTCAGTCAGTCTTTAGTAGATTTAAGTTACACTATAATCGTTGTTTGTAATCTCAAATATGAATCTTTACATTGGCTTCTTGAGAATTTTTTACATTTTTCAGGATGTATTATTTTCAATATGAAAGATTATTTTGTAAACGAAGGGCTCATCATAGATAGAAGCCAGTTTTGTTTCTATGCCCCTGTGTTTTCCCTCATGAATTCTACAAAACATTCCATATAAAGTCAAATGTATTAAAGTTATCTTCAGTTTCAAATGTTTTTCTCATAATCTATTTATATATCTCTTCTTAAAAATTTGTCCAAAGAACACATCATGATTTCTAACATAATACCTGTATCCATTCAGAAAAAAGGTTAAATCCATATACACAGTCACAAGCACAGAGCAACGAAATGAACTTTCTTCATTTAACCCATCACCGCATAATGGCAGCGGTGGACTGCCATTATGCAGCACCTGGGGAGCATTGTGGGGTTAAGCATCTTTGCTCAGGGACTCAGAGTGGCAGTCTGTGGGAATGAGCCTCCAACTAAGAACCTTAGGATTCCAAGCTCTATGCCCTAACCACTTGGCCGCCACTCCATTGCTGATGGTGCTCAAATATTTCTGTCTATAAATTCAGATGAAACTAACCTATTACATAGACTACAGGCATGTCTGAGGAAATAAAAACCTGGATTATTCTTAACTTTCTGGCTCTGAATGCGTAAAAAACAAAAGTTATTGTCTTTGAACAAGCCTTGGAAAAAGAAGCTGTCACTTCACTGTAATGGTATTATATTGATCTCAGATAATAAAGTAAAAAATCTTGCTTTTTTTTTTTTTGTTTTGTTGTCTTTTTTTTATCAGGACATGTCATTTAAATCCAATATCAAAGAGGTTCTTATCCAGGGGTGATACTGTGAGACTAGTCCATGCATTTGTTGCGTCAAGGCTGGACTATTGCAGTTCTTTACTATCAGGAAGTCCTCAAATTGTCTAAATGTTCAAAAATGCAGCAGCCAAGTCTTATAAAAATTAAAAAGAGAGATTATATTTCTTCTATTCTAGCTTCCTGTAAAATCTGTCTTATATCAGAGATCTGAATGTACCTTATGTTCCTTATAAAGTACATAATAATAATAATAATAATAATAATAATAATAATAATAATAATAATAATAATAATAATAATAATAATAATAATAATAATAATTGAAATGTGTTGATCTCACATTGGAGAAATTTACCTCTGAATTTAACCCATCCTCTTGAGGAGCAGTGGGGGGCGCCTGGGGAGCAATCGGGGGCCACAATCTTACTCTCAATCTACAGGTACTAGTATTTCATAGTTTCTAAAGGAAGAATGGGAGGCAAATCTTTTAGTTATCAGCTTCCTCTCCTGTAGAACCAACTACCAGTTTTAGTCCATAAGGCAGACAGCCCGTTTAATTTTAAGGCAAGGCTAAAAACTTTCGTTTGTGATAAAGCTTATGGTTAGAGTGGCTCAGGTTATCCTGAGTTATCTCTATAACTATGCTGTTATAGACTTCTGGAGGACATAGGGACCCCTTTTCATTATTCTGCATCATTACATCTCTTTTCTCCCATTCTTCAATATTTGTTGGTTAAATCTCAAACATTAGGCTCTCCCTGCTTTTTCTCATCATAGTAGCTACATCTGGTATGTTCCTGTTTGGCTGTTTCAGCATCATGGACAGCAATAATGCCTATTTTTTTATTAGATGTTCCAGCTTGGCCTGTTTTTAGTGAAGTCAACTATTAACTATTATCAACTATCAACTATTCTATCTGCACAGTAAATGTTGCAGTGTTAAAGTAACACTCAAGAGTACATTTGGTCCCACTGAATTAGTGTGGGACCAAATGTACTCTCAAAGTGTTACTTTAACACTGCAACATTTACTGTGTGACTGTGACTTACTGGATTTGCTGTCCTTCATCCTCTGACATGGAAGCTGGCTCAAAGGTCGTCTGCATTGCTGTGTGTTTGTAGGACAAGGCTTTCTCTGGAGCTAATTTACTATTTACTTTTCTATTTCTGTTTCTTTCTGTATCTCTGCTTCTGTCTCTTTGAACCCCAGTCGGCCTCTGCAGATGGCCGCTCACACTGAGCCTGGTTCTGCTCAAGGTTTCTTCCTGTTAAAAGGGGGTTTTCTTCTCCACTGTCGCTGCAAGCATGCTTAGTGTGAGGGATTGCAATCGAGTCAATGAGTCAATGCAATCAACTTGTTTTCCTTAGATAAAAAACTTTGAACCAATCAGATCATTCTGGTTGAATTGTCTCAGTAAAGCACCTTCAGTCGACATGTGTTGTAAATTAGCACCAAATAAATAAACTGAATCAAATTCAAAACTAAGAGAGACGATAGAACTTCTCATGTACAAAAAGATACATGATAAAAGTGTAACAACTAGGTAAGTTATAGTTGAGATTTGAGCATTTGAAGTTATTAAGCTGAATAATTCATATAATGCCTTATTATAAAGGAAATAACCTGATATGATTTCATTTAAAAAGGCCTAACTAAGTGCAATTTCATTTTTGCAGAAACAAAATTATGTTAAAAAGGTATAAATTGTATTGCAGTGCTACTATGCTTTAAAAAAAAATTGTGAAGAAGCAAGGTGATCCAGCGTCTTTTTTTCCCTTACTTTGATAGTTTTTAATTGATCTTTCCAGTTATAAAAGTTATTGCCACATTTTCTATCTGGTGAGGATTCCTTTTCTATTGCAAAAGGAGAATTGGCAAAGACAAATCTGACCTTATTTTCTCTTTCAAGTTCTGACTGAAAAGAGGCATACAGTTGACATACTTCAGAAACCTGTGGTTAAAGGTTTTCATCATACCTGACCAACCAAACCACCTTTCTTTATTTAAATTTTGGTATTTCAGTATTTACGACGATGGTCAATTTATTGCTGAGCACTCACATCCTGATCAGCTTATTGTTATGATGAAAAGCCCTTAATGTAACTATTAGCATTGTAGATAGGGTGCTTAAATGTTAAATTTCCATGTCTTTTGTTATTAAGTGGTCCTTCTAAGGAGCCTAACCTTGCGTGCCTACGAGCCTCTCTTAACTAATTGCAGGGAACACTGAGTGTGAAAGGGGGTATCTACCGGTACCTAATTCGTAATAACGAGCTTAGGGAAGGCCTGTTTTTGTGTTTTGCACAGGCCCCTGTGGAGACTAATGTTTTGTGCCAAAAACAAAGAGCGCTGAAAAAAATGAAGTGAAGAAAGGGATTTCATAAGGAGGTAAAAGCACCACAGGAACGTTTTAGAAGTTATTTGCAATCATGGACTAGCTACCACCTGCATGTTTTCGGATGTTTTTTCCTGCCTGTTGCTGTCACTGGGCAGTTCTCAAAGTGCAGACACCCCATAGGAACAGACGGAGCAGAAGTGCTTTGCAAGCAGCCCAATTTTCGTTTTCCTGTTGTTCTTTTAACATTTATGAGTAATCCTCAAAACAACTGACAGCTTAGGTTTCACTTGTCTGCCAGGAAATAAACATGAACTCCCTAAGGTTATTTCATGAGTAACAAACAGCTGCTCGTTGACTTAGCATTTCTTTGACTTTGCACAAAGTGCCCTTTTACACAGAGAGAACCTGTAAACATCTATTTCACAACCTTGTGAAATGTTAAGAAAGAAATTGCACAAAAAAATCAACTATTCCTATAAACAACACAGTTTTTAAAAGTTATTTTGGAATCCCACCATATTAGCTTGACTTAGAGCAAACCAAGGTTACTTCTTTGTTAAAACAAACTGTAACAGTGTCTTAAAAACATTTTAAAGCTCTTTTGAGCTTTTCACATTTTGTCTTATCAATGCTTTTGAGAAGGAAGGCTTTTCTTCTGATAAGCCAATACAAAGATATATGCTATTTTTAAAGCATAAAAAATACTACATTATCTTTATAACTTTTGATAAAACATACAACAAATGTGAAATATATTTGTATCAATATATTGATATCCTGTGCTGAACCATCGAGCATTGAGTCATTGTCCAGCTGGAGGGTGAACCTGTGCTCCAGTTTCGAGTCTTTTGCAACTTCTAAAAACTTTTTGTTTTTTTACCAGGTTGCCATGGAACTAACTCCCTCCATCTTTCCATCAAGTCAGATAAGCTTAGTTGGCCCTGCTGAAGAAAAGCATCCTCACAAAACTGCCACCAGCATGTTTTACTATAATTTCTGAAGGTAATTGTATTAGGTTTCCTCCAAACATAGGGTTTAACTGTTAGATCTAATGAATTAAATCTAGTCATTTCTGGCCAGAGCACCCTTCCCTTTGTTTGTTTTGTCTTCTTTCAACATTCCAGCAATCACACCACTCTTGCTCAATGATCTGTTTTGGAGAGTGCAGGAATTATGCTGTTTGAATTTTGTACCCAACTTGTAGATCTGCACTGCTTCTCCAAAACTGTCATCTCTACTTCTGCAGTGTCCTTGCCTGCCTTGACAATTTATGTTGATTGCAAAA